GTTGGCTTCGTGCCACTGATGCTGGCATAGCTGAGTTGGCTCAGTGTGCTAGGCATGGCGAGAGAAGGAAGGCCAGGGCGGGCTGGGCCTTCCAAGCTTTAGGCGTTGGGCTCGGGCCCATGCGCAGGAAGAGAGAAAGCAAGAGGGAAGCGTAGGGGTACCTGCTCACTCTTGGTGATTTGGGTCGTTGCCCCTTTTGGGCCGAGAGAGATAAGAGAGAAAGGGTCTACCGTGTTGGGCCCGGGCCTAAGGTTTGGTGCATTAGGTCTGTGGGGCAGCTAGCTAGGCTGCGGCCTAGCGCGTTGCTCCATGTAGTTTTTAAATAAAAGAATGTCATAAGTGGGATTTGAACCCATGTCCTCGTTAAATGACCAGAGCTTGAGTCTGGTGCTTAAGACCACTCGACCATCCTAACTTACGTGTGTAAGTTCTCTCAAAGCATTATTTAACTAACTTAATATTAGTTTTCCTTTTATGGGAGTTTTAACGAAAAGTCCACGGTACTGTTCATTTTAATTAAAAACCACATTTTTACACTAAAAAGTCAATCCTGGTACTATTTACTTTACCCTTTATTATGTCCTTATCTTTAAAACTCAAAGTTTTTAAGCCATTTTCATTAGTTTAAAATCCTTCCTCGTTTCTGACACCTTCCATTAACCTTCTCTTATTCGATGTATTTTTCAAGTACCCTTTGCTTTGGTGAACATTATAACATCCTTGTTATGCCTCTAAATTACTAGTCCTAATATTGTATGTTGTATACCATTGGGCTTGAGATGTATCGACCAACAGTGTGGCTACAATGCCTCATAGCTTACTAGCTTTACCCTTTAAATCTCACCTTGTTCATTTCACGTTTGAACTAAATACAACGTGATATTGTAGATTTCTCTCTAACCGTGATAGGTTTCCGAAAGTTGGATAGGTTTCACAACTTTCACATAGGTCAATAGTGTCTTTATAAATCAATAGTCTATTCTACAGGCCAGTGGGGAAGAGAAATGAAAAATAAGAAGGAAAATGAAAACATCAGACAAGACAATCCAACAAAACTACAAGAGCCTGATTTGCTTTGCTATGCTTGCTTTCTTGAACATCTTCTTGCCCAAACCAACATTTTCTCTTCATTTTTCTTTCTTTTCCCCTTTGTTATACATCTTACATATGAACAAGGTATGATGCTGATCCTCTCTCAACGTTGGACGGACTTGAATTCGACGCTCAACCTCTGCGACTTCACCACGTTAATTTAGTGGACTTCAACTGCATTCTGCTGAAATTTTCTTAACCAACACCATCACTTAAAGAAAGCTAGCAGCTACTCGTGTGACAGTCCTCTAACCTCCAAGAAAATGCAAACCACAAATCTGGATGCATGCTTCTGTAAAGATCGGATTGGCAACTGATGAATGAACCCCAAAGTACAATTCTTGTGATTATTTCATTAAATCTAAAAATACAAAGCCATTCCAAAGGCTGTGCAAGAGCATCGATGGTAATAGATTCCTTGACCGTGCAAATACAACGCCCATCACCACCCCAAGGAAAATAAGCGGTAGAATCCTCTGTACATTCCAATGTGCTAAAGCAAATACAACCGAGCTCACCAATACCGCAGACCACACGGGCATGTACTTGGTTAAGGAAGGCAGTAAGAAACCCCTGAAGAGTATCTCCTCCCACATGGGAGCACAGACTGAAACTACTACTGCATACATTGCCATAGCCACTGGATCGCGTGCCATAATTGATTGCTCAACACTTGATACCGCAACCGGGGTGGAAGGCAAAAGAGGGAGCAGACTGAGGTTGAACTGTGAGAGCTGATTGACAAGGGGAAACATAAGGCATCCAAGAGCAACATCCAACTGCCAGGTCCCTTTCAAGCTAAATTTAAACCAATCCGGAGGAAGAGGGCGAAAACGTGATAAGCAGCGACAAATTATCATAATTCCAACAAGACCTTCAGTTACGTCAGTCACCAGGCTAAATAAGGCTTGTCCTCTATTCGTTAATGATTCCCTGCTGAAACCTGCCATGTGAGCTGCAAATGGAACCATCCAAGAACCTATGAAGCAGAAAGCAGCAACCCATAGTAGCATGACCTGCACCATTTATACATCAAATCAACTTTGCCAACAACAAAGGGAAACAGTCTCTTTCTTCATGAATTCCTGGTTATTAGACACCTTATCTTCATAACTTTTCTTTTTTATTCTTCCATAAAAACTTATCCTTTAAAAGTAGAAGGTGGATGTGACGGCCTGGAATTCATGACTATTGCCTAGTTGCATTCAATTTGAAGTTCTACCAAACATTATTGAAACACTTACCTGTAATATGGTCTCTGCTGACCATGGCACACTCCAACGACTCCCAATTGCTCTAGACACTGCATCTGCAGCCTGAAATTTAAGCCCCCAGAAAAGGAAAAATGAGAACCTTGATGCAGCCATGGATATGTTTTCCAGATCAAAGCGATAATTGTGGTTACAGGATATTCCTGCCACATTTATAGGATTCAATCCTTGTGTGTGTGCGTGCATGTATCATTTATTTCGCTAAAACAGCTGAGCAACAAGGAAATTGGAATCAACATTTTAGTTTTTTCCCTTCATTTTTCTTGACAACCATTGAAGCATAACTGCAACGTAAACGTAAGAGAATTTGTTGTCCTAATCATATACCCTATTATTAGTTCCAGTCCTTCTGGACATATATCCCATACAATCAACCTACCCTAGGTGTTTCGTTCACAAGGCCCACAAGGCGATTCGTTCACCAAAACTCACATACTGGAGGAACTATATAACTTATTCTGGTTTTTGGAATGGCTGCTGCAAGTTATTACTGCCTAAAATTTCCATTAAACAACGTATGCTCAAAGTGTACGAACTTCTTCACTCAGCTTAGTATCTTAATATAAGTCAATTGCAAGTGTGAAAGTTAAAGAACTCCTTCTAAGTGATGTGGCGAATATTTCAATGATCTTGAACGCTACTACCTCGATAGCTTATACTTGATATAACACTACCACGTTATGTAGATGGATCCATAATGCAGTTCGCCAACATGTCAGAAACTCAAATTCAACTTAACCGTTAATCCATAACAAGTTCATTAATATAGTCGAAAACAAAAAATCCCGGTGTTCTATAAGTTATTCACTATCCAGTTGCTTTACATACTACGCGAACAACCTGAGATTCTCAATGAATAAGCAAATAAAGCAAATATATATGACTTTGTAACCGGGAAAAGGAAAGAAATATGACCTCTCGGAGCGTTCCTCCCCAATCCCTTTTAACCACCTTAGAATCATCGAAGTCGGACTTGACTACTTCCTCGGGCACCAAGTGTTCAATATATTCCGGTTTCGGTGTTTCTGAAGAGAACTTCTCTTGCCTAAAACATGAAATTCTAGTCCACCTCTGTAGAAAAATAACCCGAAACACGGAAATGTAAACTTCCAGGTACAAATTTAACGGCATAATATAAAATTGGTCCCAAAATTTTCAATTTTTCTAACAACTACTTCCCTAAACAATCCGTACAGCTCAATTAAACAGTCAATAGAAAAAAGGCCCAAATTTTTTCAATTTTTCGTGCATTTTCCCGGCAACCAAACAGTGAACAAGCTGTAAATTATCAACAGGAAACATGAATTCCAGAACTGCTTACCGTATTATACGGTCTGGATTGAGATTCGAAGATCCTAAAACTCCGTGAAATTGGACGTAAAGCTCCGGGTCGGGTCGGAACCCTAGCTCTGGCGGCGGAGGAATGGAGGAAAGGGCGGTGGATAAGAGAGTGAGAGCAAGTGGAGCTCAACATGTTGTGAGCGAGTCCTTCAGACTTCAGAGCTCCGTATACCGTTGCATATCAGTCTGGATTGCAAGGGGGTTTGTTTGTTTGGCGGGTTTGAATCTCTGTTTGTTTGGATGTCGGGGTAGAGGAGTCTTGCCTAATTCAATTCCCTGATTCCCAGAAAAGAGACAAGGGGAATTGGATTTTTTTCTCTCTCTAGGAAAGAAATGGAGGAGAGAGAAAGAAAGAAAGTTTGGAACTTTGGTTGGTACCGCCCGGCTGTGGCTGCTGTAATCCATGGGTTTAAGAGGGGTGTTTGGATACAGGGACAAGAGTTACTTTCCAATTTTCTGGAAATAAAATGAGAAAAACTGGCGAAAAGTTAAAAAAAAAAAAAAAATAGTTTTAATGAAAAATGACAAATAAATGTGTAATGAATAGTATCATGAAATAATAAAAATGTGATTTTTCGTTAAAATTGAACAGTACCGAAAGTGTTTTACTAAAACTATCTAAAATATGGAATTAAGAAGTAAGAACACAATTTCCATTCCTCAACCGACTGTATCAGACTTTTAGTGGTTTGCTTTTGCTTATCCTAAAATAAGGGTGCTTTGATCTGGCTTGTCTCCTCTAAAACTTACACATAAATAATGTGGTACGAGTTTGACTCTAGTTCTTTTCTTCTTTCTCGATGATTTATTTTAAGATATAAATGAGTTGAAAGATGAAGAATGAGTGCAAATCTCTTAGGCCTTGTTTGATGAGCAGAATGAGATGAGTTATTTCTAATTAAATTGTAACCCAGCCAATGTTTGGTGAGAAAAAATTGTAACATGGGCTAGATTGGCGACAAATCCGAAATAAGGAAAATATGATGGGTTTATGTAACCCAACCACACACCTAGTTATGCAACTGACTCCTGTGAATCCAACCTTATCTCAAAGGTCCAATCTCATACAGCCCATCAAACGAGCCCTTACGGTTCATTTGATCCATTTAAGCGTGTCCATTTTCAAGGAAAAGACTTGGGCGTCCCCGGTCGTATGCAAGAATCCCCCCATATCCAGGGTTGTTAAAAATGTACCGACACAAGGCGTGCAAAATAAATATCCCTATCTTATTACCAGAAGTATGTATAAACTTGATGAAAATTTTAATAAAGTAGGAATCAAAAGAAAAAACAAACTCAATGAATCTGTTTTGTAATGAATTCTGAATGACACAATGTGTATGAACAACTCTCAACTCTCAATCTCCCTTAAGCTGAAAAAACAAAAACAAAAACAAAGAAAATCCTATTGTAAACAAACATCGATTCGAATGAAACAGCAAAATCCGAAAATTCTATCATGCTCTGGGGTACGGGGGGAAATACGAAGAATGTGGCTTCAAATTTTGTGGGGGCAAAATTCAATTATTTTGGAACCACTTACACCAGACAACTTGACATGGACATGAAGTTAGGAACCTCCTCCACCCATGCTTTGTGCCAAGTGAGCACACATATCTTCCATACCAAGAATCTGAACTTATTCACACAAACCAAAAGTGCTTTTTGCTCTGGACAAAAGCAGGCACGATGGAAGTTTTGCTGCCAAAATATGCAACATCAGAAGATGTATTGCCGGAGGTTTGCGTTACACGATGTAGTTCATGCCCACCTTGATCAAACAAATATGAGGGATGTTCAGAGTAACAGCGGGAGAGCGGCAATTCTTGCGTAAGAAAGAGTAGGCAACATCGATAGCGCACTTCTTTAAGAACGATGAATTCCATTTCGCCTTTAAGTATGCCTGACCTATTACATATGCTACCCCGGCATGCTTTGCTTCCACAAGTTCCTGGAGCTGTTCCTTTAGGCGGGAGTCTTTGCATTTTGCATCCAGCAATCCAAACCGAGCCCGCCTCCAATAGTTGAGTTTTGGTGCTTCTTGCTCATAGTTGGCCTGCAAGTTCTGCAGCGTGGGAGACTTGGCACTGCTCACAATCGCTGAAGAACTTGAACTGCTGCTTTCTCCAAGGCCAGAAGTCTGTGCCATAACCAACACCGTGCCAAACTTCCCAGATGTCTTCACAACTGCCATACGGCGGTCCACAGTGCCTTCAGGGGTTCCAGAACCTTCTGCTTCCATTTGGATGAACTCTGCTATGCTCATCACCACATCAATTTCAAAGTCGTCCCCATTTTTAAAGACGTCTTTGTACCCATTCCGAACCATACAACGGTACATCCCAAAAGATTTGGGTCCAATACGGCCAACAAGATACCTTTCTTTTTGGGGAACATAAGGAACAGGAACAGTTTTAACACAAACGAAGACAATCACTTGGTAAAAAGCCGGTAGGTTGGTTAAGAAATGAGTAAATGATGCTGGGACTCCGGTAGACAATTCAGTGTAGATGAGGCCAATTCCAGGGACCCTAACAATGCCAAGACTAGGACCCAGCGTGAGCATCCACTTCATTGAAACCTTGTTATGCAAGTCATACAAATACTTCTTCTGCGTGCCATATTGCCAGACATACATAACTACCAAGAAGACAGCAGACAAAACCAGGGGAAGCCATGTACCTTTGAGGATTCTCACGCACAAAGATGAAAGGTAGACGGCTTCAACTGAACCGAAAAGTACACAAAATAAAAGGGAAAGCATGAAACTCTGATGCCAAACAAGGTCGATGACTAGCGATACCAACCACGTCGTTATGATTGTAACACCCAAAAATGCAATCCCTGATATTAAAAAAGCAGGATAAGCTTTCATTTACAAAAATAAAGAATAAACATGACATAGAAATTTATTGTTATTTTGACCATCACTTGACAAAAATTACGAGTCCTCGTATTTTAGCAATGGCACATATATGGCTCAGACATACTCGTCAATAAGAAGAATAAAAATATCTTGTAATTTATTTTTTAGAGCAAAGATGACATACCATAAGCATTTGCTATACGAATTGTGTCTCGAAAACCAATTGTGACAGCCAGACTGATGATCATAAGAAACCAGTTCAACTCAGGGATGTATATCTGACCAGATATCCTTCTCTTTGTATGTACAACCTTGACGCGAGGGAAACATCGTATTGCCTGACATTGCTTGACAACTGAGAATGTGGAAGAGATAACAGGTTGACTGGCAACAATGGCAGCCAAAGGTGCAACCACAAGTACTGGCCACAATAAGGGAGCTACAGAAAAGACATGAGCATTCTTTAGGACAAAAATCAGCAGCTCTTAACTGAATAGTTCTTTAAAAATATATAATGCAATGCAACAATGCTCATCAATTTTCACAATGTCAAGTGTTAACGGGAGATGCAGGCTGTAAAGTATGCACGCCAGTGCATTCCTGAATCAACGAAAAACTCTAGAAGCTTACGTGGAACAGAAGCGAAAAAGCTCATAGATACTGCAGATAGATTTCTCGAAAGAAACGCAGCTTGTCCCATGTATTGAAGTATTAGGCATGGGTAAATCACAAAAGAAAATGCAACCTGCACATAGCAACATGTGTTAGTTTTCCTCTTGCCACCTAGGACTGCTGACGTAGAAACTAGTGGAGTAAGGTGACGCCAGCTGGATCAAATTCAATTGTAAGATTCACTTTTCAAAAGAAATTGTTTAAAGTAGAAATGGCTTCAATCAGATTATGAAACGAGCTAGCTACTGGTGAAGGTGTGAAATAAACTTTAAAGTCTAAAACAAAAAGTTCCAGGTCTCGAAAAGTTGTTTAAATAACGATTTGTCGGACAACAACCTGAAATGAGATGTATAGAATTTTTTAAAGGCAGAGGTACGGAATTTAAAGATACTCCTGCAGGTTAAGGCCGCTTTTCAAAGCCAAAAAAAAAAAAAAAAAAAAAGAAGAAAAAAGAAAAAAAAAAAGAAGAGAATTGTATATATTACAACCAAACCATGAGTGCGTTTCTGCCATCAGATCATTCTCCATGTAAATTAGACCAGCATATACCAGTGTATATTTCTCCTAAAAACAAGTTTCGTAACTATTAACTGGAAAGTTCGATTTTATTTCAGAAACCCATTCAACATATCAACCTACGAAAAAGAACTGCACGTCTGGACAATAAGTTTCACTTCTAACACCAGTGTGTTGTCGCCGTAATCTCAAGTCCTAAAACCTGTTCTTCACACCACAATGGAAAATCCCAAAGCAATGGGGCTCAAAAGCTCTTATAAAATGCAAAAACAATTCAAAACAAACAAAATGATATTGTTGCTCATTCCTGACTTCAATGGACAAACCCACAGTTTATCACGAACTGAAAGACCTAATTTTACCAATAGTGGTAGTGCATACCCTTAATGGTGCTGTTCTGAAGTGGCCAAGATCCGCAAAGATGGCTTCAGTTCCTGCAATTCGACAAACACTGCACAATTATGAGGAGCAAAAGCTAAGGAACACAAAAAAAAACGCAAGTGCTCTACTTACCAGTCACACATAAAAGGATTCCTCCAAGAGAAAGCCAGCCATCTTTTCCTGTCATCTTAAAGAATATGTAAATGTAATAAGGAGAAAGAGCCTGATATACCCTTGGATTCCACTCGATGATATTGTAGATTCCAACAGCAGCAATTAACAGTAGCCAAAGGATGATAATTGGAGTGAAAATGAAGGCCAATTTGTGGATGCCACGGTGTTGCAAAACAAAAAGGGCAACCAATAAAATACAGGCAATAAGAACCACCACACCTGGTTGTGTAGAAGAGTTTGTAGCTAAAATGGCATGAGATAAAGTGAGGTAAATTTCAGAAGTGAAGAAAATTTTAACGTGGAAAATAACGCTCACCACTATGCAAATTCGTTGCTTGAAATTGTAGCCCCTCCACAGATGCAAAAACTGCAAATCACCAAACACTTTTTAGCAGAGGTTGTAAAAGAACCATGCACGAACACAGAAATCAATCATTACAGTCCCATCTAAACATTTAAAGGATCAATGAGGTCAGACAAAGAAATCTTACTTGATATTGCAGGAGTGAGGATACCAACACAAATCACCATGGAAGCTCCAAATAAAACTACAAGAAGTAGACAGGTTTTTGAACTTTTATGTCTCTCGATAAACCTTTTCAATGGAGAAGTGGGCATGTTCGTATTGGAACAACCGGGGTAGCGGTATGTGGAGATCTCCTCATCAGATGCCTGATAATTAGGCAGCAAACAGAATTTCGCATTTCTGCAAAGGAGCGCATATAATGCAATAACACCGCCTGCAAATGACCCAACAAGACAGCGATAAATCAACGAAGCAAGCAAAAGGTTGTGCAAACAGTGAGGACAAGTGCATCAGCTCTTTACCTTGACCATTGTCGTCGGCGCTCAACATGACAAGGACATACTTTAGCAAAGAAATAAGAGTAATAGTCCAAAAAATCACTGAAAACACCCCAAATATTGCATCGTCGGTTTGGTAATTGAGCAATCCTCCAGAAAATGCACATTTATAAACATAAAGAGGGGGAATGCTCAAAGCACCGAAAAGCAAACCAAAACTCTTATACAAGAAAAGGGCATTTTCCCTACATTGACCTCTTCTGTTAACCTGTTTAAACAACACAAACAAAGTGCTTAAATTCTCAATCTTTTTAAGCTAAACACCAAACATTTAACTAATTAAACACAATCAATTACTCTATTCAAGGCAACCCTAAATTTCTAACCTTTTTTTCATTTGTTTTCGATTTCAGTTTAACTAAACTAAATTATTTTGGAATTTAATGAAACATGACGAAATTATGAACTTTAGCATAAACTAACGAATGGGCGGGATTCAAACAAATTTCTTGCACTTTCTGGGTGATTTTTCTCGAGAAACAAACAGAAAAGTGAAGGATTTAACCATGGCCAGCCGGGGACGGATCTCTGTGCCCTCCTTGCCGCTTGAATCTTCAAGAAAATGATTAGAAAATCGAAACCACAGAAATTTTTGAGAGAAATAAAAAGACGGAATCGAGTTCGCAAGAGTCGAACGTTGTATCAGAGATCCAAATCTGGCGGGGTCTCCTTTGCGGCCGGGATTTTCTCGGTGTGTTTCAGTTTTTCTGTTTCGGTGGGCCCTCCCAAAGGTCCAGAGCAAAGGATGTCGGCTTTTGATTAAACGTGTGTTTTTTATTGGGGTGCCAAAAGTTTATTTGCGGATTCATCCTTTGGAGTTTTACGAAGTAAGACATTTCACAGAAAATTAAGGATATTCTTATCCATTCGTCTATTTTTCTCAGTTCTAATACAATTTTTTTTTAATTTTTGACCGTCAAATTAAATAAATTAAAAAAATTAATAGCAAAAAATTAACAAAGATGTGAGGAATGTAAAATGAGTGTGAAACACTATCCAAAATTAATTAAGTATCCTTGTGCAGCAAGTACAAAAAAGACATCGGTAAAGCCACTAAAGGACAAGAGTAGTTTCGGGCCCATTCGGACCACTTTGTGAGAAACTTCTAGCGGCCTCAAGTGTGAAGTTGTAGAACTGTGAGACATGAGGAATAAGATGATTTGTTCTCGTGAAGTTGAGTCAAACGATATCATGTTTTATATTTTTCTAACAGTTTGTTTCTTTTGTCTTTATGGTTTTGTAAAATTGAGGAATGAATTTTAAAATCAACTTTAATGTTATTTCTAAAGCAACCTAATCAACTATTTTTTGCAATCCTCCTCTTTGCCCTTCTTTACCTCCCAAACAATTCAAACCTGATTCAAACCAGATTTTGTGAAAATTACTTAAATTGCTCGTGTTATCAGTTCAAAACCATAACCACATAATGTTCACAATTTTCCTCATTTCCAAAATATACCCAAATTTTTATATCCTAATCCAATCCAATCCATTCAGACAGTTATCAATAGTTAACAGGTGTAACAGTTAGAATTGCCATCCCTATCAACCCTATCTGGTTTTTCCATTTCTTTCTTTATACCTTGCATTGCTTGTTGAATGTTAATTTCATTTCTTGTCCAACAAAATTAACGGAGTTGAAACATTAAAAGCTGAAAAAACCAGAAGAAATCTTCATCCATAAATATAAATAGCTTCCCTTGAACAGTTCTTGAAGGCAAATAAAAATGTAGGCAAAATCCAAATCATTACATTTCTAGCTTCTACTGCTTTGATATTGCCCTATTGATAGTGTGGCTCAAAAGCAAACCAACATTTCAGTTGCAAGGATAGTGTGGCTGACGAGCAAACCAACATTCAGTTACAAGGTAAAAAAACCGCGAAACAGACAGGAAAAATAGGGAGGATTACATAACTTGGGAGTTGGGGTCAGAGAACCCGCATTTGCTCTTACACTGCACCGCATAAATTGCCAGAAAGGAGAAATCTCCCCTGCAAACAGCAGGAGGATTATCCTGCCGAAGGGCAGGCCAAGGACTTGCAATCCCAACCAGCTAAACTGAGATTGTAAGTGGTACATATCTCAAGGTGTATCAGGAACCCGCAAGATTAAGAAAACTGGTTAAGCCAGCCCAGCAAAACATTCAAACTGTGTTTAATTTATTTTCTTCGTCTATTTGTGACCAACTCAGGATTGCCCTTCCTCATCATGGCTGCAAATTCATCGTAGTTAATCCTTCCATCCTGCAAATAATTTCGGAATTCATTAACTGCGACAGAAACACTCTGGAAGAAACATCAAGGCTTCAAAAACACTCAAGACATAAACAAGAACAAGGAGGTACTAGTCTATCAGTTTGTTAGTATGGTGCGATGGTGTAACTATGAGATGATAAGGTGCATTCAGTAACATGATTTCTTTTCCCCATTCAAATTCACAGAGACTGCCTGATTTAATGATTCGGTTCAAAACACGGGAATTATTATATTGCCCCTGTCCCAGCATGTGGCCATTACAGTTTTGGTATCAGGATGTCAACTGCAATTTTGTGGTTAAAATCAACACTGTAAGCAAAGTCGTCTTCTCAACATGATATTCACTATAATATTGAGGAACAGTCGAACCCTAATCCTATAGGCCTCATTTGTTACTTTGTTGGAGAGCATTGGCTTGGATGGGACTATTCACTATATTGAAGGCATTTTGAAAGAAGAAATGGATGACAACTTTCTTATTTTGTCCAAGTTGAAGGCTACTCATGAAGAAAAAGTGTCCCTTTTAACCCTACAATTTTTGTGGGGATTATTAGTTAGGATAGCTTTTCTTCATGAGTAACCTTCTTGGACAAAACATGGAAGTTCTCATCATTTCTTCCTTCAAACTGCGTTCAATATAGTGAATAGTCCTATCCTCTAACAAACGAGGCCTTAGTGACATATCTTCCTTGATGTAAATTTGTTAATCTCCCCTATGTGGTAAATAGGAGGAAAATATCAATATTAAAAACAAACACACACACACACATAGAGGGAGCGAAGAAAATACATATCAAGATAAAGATATATATATATATATATGTTAAGACAAAAGATTAGGCACGTACACGGTCCGTGTCAACTTCTGCAATGATTTCCTTAATTGTTTTCTCATCGCCCATATTATACTTCTTAAGTGCTTGCTCCAATTCTTCCATCGTGATGTACCTAAAATGAGAAGAGGTCAAAACATAATTTTAAAAAGTGACAGTTTGATATACAATTGAAAATGGGGTAAAACACAGCTATAACTATGTTACTGACAATAAACTGTTACCCGCTCTTGTCTTTGTCAAAATATTCAAAGGCTGTGTATAAATGGTCCTCTCTTTCCATTCTATTCATGTGCATAGTAGCGGTTATAAACTCGATGTAGTCAATCGTTCCATTTCCATCCACATCAGCCTGAAAATGAAACCAGAGTTTTTCAACTATGTAGGATTAGGGAATAGGTCATCCAATTGAAGAATTAAACATAAACCATCTGAACAAGCCACACAGCTAACCGATGTAGACTTATAGGTTAACAAAGACTGAAGCACTTGGAAATTTGGAACAAAAGCTTGTTTAAAATTAACGAAATGGATGGGTATATGTGAAGAGAATGATGTTTCGAAAATAGTTTTGAAGTCTTATTTTCTCTCCTCATTCACTTTCCTCCACAAATGGAGAGATTGGAGGGGAAAGTGACATTCAGATCTTGTTTATTTTTAACTACTTCAAAAATGTCCTCAACTAATGTTTCCTCTCTACTTTTATCGGTAACCATCCAGCACAAGTAAGAGAAATCAAAAGTCTCTTCTCTTCATTTTTTTTTTTTTTTTTCGGTTTCTCATATCTTTTGTTTCTCTTCTCTCTTAATGACAAAATTACCAAAAACACTGGAATCATGAAGCTCACGTTGGACGAACAGTAAGAAGACTCGAGATATTACCGCTTCCATCAACTGTCTCACTTCTGACTCAGAGAGCTTGGTACCGAGTTTTGGAAGGCCAGCTTTTAACTCTTCATATGTAATTGTTCCACTGTTATCTGTGTCCATGGATTTGAACATTTCCTTCAAGCCTATGATTTCCTCTTCAGAAAGATTTTCTGCAATTACCTGCAAGAAAGAAATATAGCACAACTTTATTAAATGTTTGGTCATGAAACAAGCATGCATGAGGATACTGACAAATTTCTAGTCTCATGACATGGGCTGGACCAGCAGCATCCCCAAGCCCCGGATTCATTTCCACCAGCCTCATTCCAGTGCATAAAGAGGATGCTAACGATGTTGATAAAAGATGCTCTTACCTTCAATGCTACTTTCTTGAGTTTGTTCATTGCCCTGAACTGTTTCATTCTAGATAGAACGGCAATATCAAGAGGTTTATCAGATGCATCACCATCTTCTCGCATCCATGGATGGCCTGCATTGTGTTTTGAGTGGTTCAGAAACTGTAGCTAAGAAAAAGCCTCAACGCATGGAGGATGTTTAACACAGGAAGCACGAAAATCTGATGGTAGGAACTAGCAAAGATAATAAGTCAAACTACAGAGCTAGCAAAGATAATTATGAAACTACACCTAACTATTCAGAATAATTACTCAACACCATATCCACTGAGCTTCTTCATACTGTTCTCTTGATCCTCCTGATAAACCATATGGCTAGCCAGTCCGCTTAGATGGAATTGTACCAGGAGCATCCTCCATAACATTCACCGTTTAATTTGTTAACATGATGCCAACAAGGAGATGATACCATGTCATCATTCCTCGAGCACAATCACAACTACACGTTATCCAAAATCATGCCCACTTCTACGTAGAGAAAGTAGGCATAAATGTTCTCAACAATTCTATTTTTATAATTTTTGGTTTTTGGGGATGAGGGTAGGTAGGGTTGTGAGAAGGAAGGGCATGGGAAAGTGAATCATCAACAGTTATAGAAACACTAAAACCAAAAAACGAAAAAAAATTAAAATAGAAAGCATGCAATATTTAAAGTATTCCATGTCTAGGAATATGTCATTGTGAAACTTACTTAGGACGTCAGCTGCAGTAAGTCGTTCCTTAGGATCAGCTCGGAGCATTTTCTTCACAAGATCTTTGGCACTGCTGGATATGGAAGGCCAAGGGTCAGATGCGAAGTCAAGATGTCCCCGAAGGATTGCGTCAAAGATACCTTGTTCATTCTCTGCGCATAAAATACAATTTAGAAAAGTGAAACTGATGACCCCTTTAAGTGGCAACTTGTACTAAAGTGATAAACTGAAAATGGGTGATATCCTAAAATTCTAGCTGCTTCTGAGTGTTGACTTAATGCATACTTCAAGTCAATTCACTTGTTAGAGCGGAAGTAAAGTATTTATACATTACTTGGTTTAAGAAAAAAGGCTTCGACTTATCAGAATTGGATGGAAAAATAAAGCTAATATGGTAGGAGCTCATCATGAGATTTTCTAGTATCAACGGAGAAACAAATGACACATTCATGAAGGAATACTTAGAATTCTGCATTTCTACTCGCTAATAGAAACCACTGCATGGCAGTTGTTAAACAAAATAAAAATCTCTAAATACAGTTACTCTTAAGGAAGAAGAGCCGTACCTCCCCAGAATGGTGGTACCCCACAAAGTAGAATGTATAGTATCACCCCTGCACTCCAAATATCAGCCTCAGCTCCATAACGACGACGTAGCACTTCAGGAGCAACATAATATGCACTTCCCACAAGATCCTTAAATACATCTCCTGCATAAAAAATGAACTGTAAAGTCCTATGGTATGATAACAATGAAGGCGAGGAACAAGTTTCCAAATTCAAAATACAAGCAACATGGAAGGTTGACAGAAGACCCAAAACAATCAAAATACCGAGAAATAGGAGTAAGGACACTCGGGCAAAGGTGGCAACCATAACATGCTTGTTGGTTATTCATGGTTTACAAGCAGAGTAGGATTGTGCGCTCTTTTGGTGCAATGACCACCAGAACAAAATGCTTGCCTCCCAACAATAAATTGATATCCCCACAAGCATTTGGGGTTCACCCAATCCTGACTGACATTAACCGGAAACAAGTAACATATAACTCATGAGGATGGGTGATGGGGGTTTAAACCCTTCAATTCCTAGTAATTTCCTCACAAGTTGTCAGCTTCAGCTCAATTTCATCACCCAAATTAACGCAAATGCTAATCTTCGAAAACCGATAGCTTTACCAATTAAATATATATATATGATCAACATACAAATTGAAGCAAACACACTGCTTGTTTCAGCTTTCAAGATTGGGGGTTTTATATAACAGATGTTAAAATATACTGCAACAAAACTACACATGATAATCACACCCCCAAAGCTGAGCTCACCTGGCTTAAAAAACACCGAAAGCCCGAAATCGGTGGCCTTGAGCGGCGAGTCCTCGTCCTTGCTCAAGAGCAAGAAGTTCTCCGGTTTCAAATCCCGGTGCATAACCCCCATCGAGTGACAGTAGTGGACCACGGTGACGATCTGGCGGCAGAGATTGGCCGCAGCTCGCTCGGAGTAATGCCCTTTGGCAATGATCCGATCGAAGAGCTCGCCGCCGGCGCAGAGCTCCATGACGAGGTTCACGGAGTGTCGGTCCTCGTAAGCTCCCTTGAGCTCGACGATGTTGCGGTGGCCGGTGAGGTGGTGCATGATCTGGACCTCGCGGCGGACGTCCTCCACGTCGTCTTGGTTGGAGAGCTTGCGGGTGGCGATGGATTTGCAGGCGAACAGCTGCTTGGTCTGCTTATCGGTGACGAGGTAGGTGACGCCGAATTGGCCGCGGCCGAGCTCGCGGCCGAAGGTGTAGGTGGACCGGACGTCTTCCATGGGCCGGCCGAGGACCCGGCCGATGGGAGCGGTGCTGGAAGCGGAGGTGGTGGTTGGGGGTGTGTGATGTTTGGGTTTGGGTGGGGCGGGGGCATTGGGAGGGAGGATGCGGACGGCACCGTTTGATGGGTGGTGGTGGTGGTCGGCCGGGTCTTCGGGGGAGGAGGGGAGAGTGCCGCTGCTGCAGTTGTTGCCCATTTTTTTTGGTCAATTGGGGGTCAACGATTTTTTTGGAAGATTTAGGGATGTTAGGACAGGGAAATGGTCGACGGTGGGTCGTCGTCAATGTGGACGGCGTTTTGGGTAGCGGAGTATACAGAGTGGGGTTGTTGTGCGAGTCAATCGACAATAATGGACTTCTAGAGGGGTATTTAGTTGACCTTGGTTAAAGGGTTTCTATTTTTATTTGAAAAATAAAAATAAAAATTAGATTGCAAGTTGGATTGGAACTTATGATTCATACCGTCAATATTTTACGTTGCAACACGCCTAAATCGTATCCAACACTTAAAATTTTGAAATCCAAAGAATTAACTTGTACGTTAACCTTGCAAATCACTGTGTAGGTACCATGAGGAAAAAATCGCTCCATTCTTTAATGATTTTGTAGTCGTCAATAAAGAAGTTCTATTTTGAGTCATTTCCAACAAACGTTAAATTTTTGTCTGAATTAGATCATGCATTATGGATCATGTTACACTTTATGTGTATTAGGTCATGCATAACAATTTAATCATGAATGCTGTGGAGTGGTTTGAATTAAATTTGCCATCTGCTAATTGTTAGCGTGTCTGAATTATCATATGCATCTACTTGGGGTGATGGTGGGAGGTGGTCCATTGATTTGCATCTCCAGCAATCCCCTGGCCCCTGCACATGGGAGTAGAGAATGGTTAGGATCCTAATTTCAATCACATGGGTATTCAGCGTTGATGAGTCCTACGTGGATGGGAATAGAACTTTGCATGGGTTTATAAGAGGTTTGATTAATTTCCATATAACCAATTAGTTTTATGGTAGAACTTCAACTTTCTTCATAGTATCAGAACAGATTGCCCTACGTGTAAAGTCAAACGGCCACATGCACTCCACGTCATCCTGTTATGTTGTTCACGTGTTAGGTTTGAAAATTCGCCACATGTGAAGGGGCGCTTTGAGAATGAGCCCCACATTGATGGGAGGAGGGACCTTGTATAGTTTTATAAGAGGTTGGGCTACTCCTCATATTACCAATTGGTTTTATAATGAAATTCTAACTTTCTTCGTCCAGTTCCACCATGTGTTGGGTTTATTTTCCAACACAATTGATATTTGCGTGTAATATTATGATAGCATATATACGAAAATTTTCTCGTTTTGATTCTATGCATCATATTATAATTAGACTATAGATTTGAATTAGTAATTAATACTTCGATGTAATATTTGCTAGGTATGTGATAAATGATACGATTTAGTATGTATGATAATAAGAAAACATGCCATGATTAATTAGTAGTATTTCTTTACAATTTGGCATACCAAAATTTACTAATTTAGTTAAGAAAATCAAATACACGTTAAAGTTGGGAGAAAATAAACAAAAGAAGTGAACCTTTTGAGTACAAAACAGCACTGGAATCTGCTTGATCTCAAACTCCACATGCACACAGGGAAGAAGATCCATTTTCAATGAAAATATTTGAAGCAAGCAAACTGAGCATTTGTCATGTGTGACGCTCATGTCATTTTCTGGACACAAAACATGAAGGCGTTACGTGACAAATCATGGGTTTGAAAAGTATAGTGCATGTCCCAATATGCCAACTTGAAGAAGTACCAACTGACCATGTAAATATATAAGGCCATTTCACACCAAATGAGAGTCAGATGATTCTCTTTAACCCTATATAGACTTCTAAGAAATTATATTTTAATGAACAGTGTAAGACTATATTTCATACTATCTCCAACCGAAGGGGTCAAAGGGTCATAGGCCAAATATAGCCATGTGACAAAAAATAATCTCTAACCGAGGGTGTCAAAAGTGTCACATCCCGTCCCGGGCCCCCATCATATCCCGGGCTCGACTTCACCGTAGCACGATATTGTCCGCTTTGGGCCCCGACCATGTCATCACAGTTTTGTTTCTGGGAACTCACACGAGAACTTCCCAGTGGGTCACCTATCCTGAGATTGCTCACACGTGAACTCGCTTAAATTCGGAGTTCCGACGAAACCCGAAGCCAGTGAGCTCCCAAAAGGCCTCGTGCTATGTAAAGATTGGAATATGTATATAAGGCTTACATGATCCACTCCCCTAGATGATGTGGGATGTTACAATCCACCCCCTTTAGGGGTCCAACGTTCACGTCGACACACTACCGACCAACGATTGGCTCTGATACCAAATTGTCACATCTCGACCTGAGCCCCCACCACATACCAGGCTCGACTCCACCGTAGCACGATATTATCCGCTTTGGGCCCCGACCACGCCGTCACGATTTTGTTTCTTGGAACCCACACAAGAACTTCCTAATAGGTCACCCATCTTGGGATTGCTCTCGCGCGAACTCATTTAACTTCGGAGTTCCGACGGAACCCAAAACCAGTGAGCTCCCAAAAAGCATCGTGCTGTGTAGAGATGAGAATATACATATAAGGCTTATAGGATCCACTTCCCTGGGCGATGTGGGATGTTACAAAAAGGCCATAGGCCAAACATAATGTATTATTTTAATTAAATTAATATAGTTAATTAAATTAAACTACCATATTAAAATAAGGTTTTCGGACATATTGGAATATTATTGAAAGAGGTGGTCATTTGAAAATTATTGAAAAAAATTAAAGGAAAATTATTGGAAGAGAATAGAATGTGAAGAATTGAAATAAAATAAGGTAAGATAGTATGAAATGGTGAAAAGTAAATAATTAGAAATTTTTTATATAAAAAAAATAAAAATTCGTCCAAAAAAAAACAGAAAGTAGGTTGGGCTCATCTAGCTGGCTGAAGATGGCCAGCTAGTTCACCTGATTAGCTGGTTTTGGCCCGATGGGGTCTACAAGCCCTTTGGCCTAGCCCTTGGTTGGAGATGTTTTCGTGTCATTTCAAACTATTTTTAGCCATATAGCCCTCTGGCCAGATTGATTGGAAATGGCCTAAGAGTAACTCCACCCCCTAAAAAAATACACCAGCATCCAGCCCATTTAACCCACTTAATGAACAGTGATATACCCAATGAACAGTAATTGACCAAAAGCATCTCCACCCCTAAAAAATGCATTGGCACAAGTCTAAAAAATGTGCTAGCACCCAGCCCATTTAAAATATTATTAATTTTTTGGGTCAATATCAGTTTACTACCCTTAAATTTCGTGGTTTTCAACATTTAGTACATGAAGTTTTTTTCGTCTCAGAATCATACCTAAAGTGTTAATTTTGGGACAATCTCATACATCTGTTAGTCCGGCAGTTAAGTTTTCCGTTAACTAATGACATGGTACCCACATGAATAATGATTGGGCGTCACGTGTCAATAAGGGTCTTACGTCGATATTAAAAATTAAAAATTAAAAATTAAACATTAAAAAATTACAAAAGAAAAAGGTTGTCTTCTTCCTCAACAGAACTCACCCGATCCCCTGCACCCACCCAAGTCGCCGCCGCCGTCCCATCCCTGGTCGACCCGGTCCACCTCCTTCGAGTCTGCACCATTCTCTACCAGCAACAGAACTCACCCGAGTCACGTCTCCACTCAAACCTCAACTCCTCCCCCTTCTAACTCACCCACGAGTTCTTCCACCAGGTCTGCAACTCTTTCCCCTTTTCATGGCGGCCCGTCTACCTCTTCTTCTGCTACACTCAGTCCCACCACCCCTATTTCACCCACACCGCCATCTCCTAGCAATATATGTTTATGGATAATCAAAACCTAATAACTTCACCAACCAAGTTTGGAATAAAAACAATTTCTAAGGAAAAGAGATTAAAAATGGAAAACCTTGAATATTATTAAAAAAAACCCAACAATTTTGTTCAAGAAAAATAGAAAGATAGGAAAAAATCTTTACCTTCCAGAACATTGAAGTGTGTTTTGGATCAGATGAAAGAATCAAATTGTTAAATCCAAATTTCTAAACGGATCTATGTGAATTTTGTAAGTTATTTACAAGTTGAGGTCGATGCCGTTTCTTATTGTTGGCGAAGTGAATTTTGTAAGGGGATGAGTCGCAGAAGGTAGGATAGAGATGAAGGAGGGGGACATGGGTTCTCTGTGGAGGGAGGTGCTACTGGTGGAGCCGTTGCTGATCTCGATCTTCTTGGATTCGGGTTCGTTGGGGAGTTTAGGTGTGGTGTGTGGGTGAAAATGGCGGTTTGGGGAGTTTGGGAATGGGTTGTCGGGAGGAGAAGTAGGTGTGGGATATAGTTGGCTGAAGAAGATAGCGGCCACAAAGTGGGTACTTTGGAGAAGATGGAGATGGGTGGGATGCGGAGGAGATCGAACTCTTCAAGAGATAGAACTTTTCCTCTCGGAGGAAGATGATTGGGCCCAAATTTTTAAAATTTTAATTTTTTTTTAAAATATCCACGTGGCCATATTGACATGTGGCGCTATGTTATTGTCCATGTAGGTGTCACGTCACCAATTAACGGTTGATTTAACAGCAATCCTAACGGATGTATGAAAGCGTTCCAAAATTATGACTTCATGTACCACTCTGGGATGAAAAAAACTTGATGTATTAAATGTTGAAAACCAATAAATTTCAGAACGGTAAATTGAGATCAACCCTAATTTTTTTATAAAATAATAAATTAAAAAATGTAGTTTTAATTTTGGATAGGATTTTTAACCAATCTTGTCACACCACATGTCATTATCTGAAGGTACTATTTTGTGGATAGATGTCCAATAAGATTTTCAACTAATCCCGACTCGTCATGTGTCACTATCTGTTTACAATAATTTAGCCAAGATTTTGATTAAATTTTCAACCAATCTTGTCATGTCACATGTCATTATCCGAACATACTATTTTATGGATAGATTTCCGATAAGATTTTCAACCAATCCCGACGCGCCACGTGTTACTATTTATTTACAATAATTTAGTCAAAATTTTGATCAGATTTTTAACCAATCACGTAGTGCTATGTGGCATTGTCAAGAACAACATCCTTTCTTTTTTTGTTTATATAAACCCTACATCCATCCTCATTCATACACCAAACTCAATCCTTCTTTTTTAGCTTATAATCTTTCTTCATCGTTTTTAAATCTTAAGTTC